GCAGGTCGAGGCTGCGGTGGCCGGGAGCGGCCACTGCACTCCAGTCTGGGCGACCAAGTGAGACTCCAACTCAAAAAAATAAAAAAATTAAAAAATAAAAGATGCACACGTGTATGCCCATGGAAAGACTTGTGCATAAATGATCACAGCAGATTTGGGTGTAATAGCCAAAAACTAGAAAGACCCAAATTCTCCAAATGGGTAAATGGATGCCTTGGGGTATATACTTACTGCTCAGCTATAGGAAAAAAATGAATATACAACAACATAGATGAATCCCAAAATAAGTATGCTGCAAGAAGTCAGACCAAAATAAATAAATACTGTCTGATCCCATTTATATAAAAATCTAGGAAATTCACAGTAATATATTGACAAAAAACAGATCAATGGTTGTCTAGGGAGAGAAAGGGCAGGAAGAAAGTATTACAAAGGGGTATGCACAAGGAATCTTTTTGGGGTGATGTACAGATTCATTATATTGAATGTACTAATTGTTTCACAGGTGTGAATATGTAAAATCTTATTAAATTGCACAATTGAAATATGCCAGTAACACTACTGAGTTTTTGAGTATTTTGTTTTACTAAGTCTTGTGCTTAAACCAGGTATTCCACAGGTCTTAAAAAACTGGTTCTCAGCAGATTGCAAAAGTGAATTTACTACCTTCGGATGATGCAATTTCTCCTGGAATTATTTTTCCAAGTAGTATTGAATCCTGAAATTCTAGACAGAAGGAAACATTGTCTTGAGGCTGCATTGCCAAAGCAAGCCCACTACTTTTATTTACAAGTTTGTATTTTTTTCGTTCTTTTTTTTTTTTTTTTTGAATCAGAGTCTCACTCTGTCACCCAGGCTGGAGTGCAGTGGCACACTCATGGCCACCCTAGCGTCAACCTGCTGGGCTCAGGTGATCCTTCTGTCTCAGCCTTCCAAGTAGCCAGAACTATAGGCGTGCACTACCATGCCCAGCTTATTTGTTTGTTTGTTTGTTTATTTATTTATTTATTGAGACAAGGTCTCACCAAGTTGACCACACCAGCTAATATTTATTTATTTATTTATTTACTTCTTTACTTATTTATTTGTAGAGATGAGATCTCACCAAGCTGCCTGGGCTGGACTCGAACCCACAGACTCAGGCAATCCTCTTGCCTCGGCCTCCCAAAGTACTGGGATTACAGGCTGAGCCACCGAGCCTGGCCAAGTTTGTATTTCTTTATGAGACTAGGGAAAAGCTGTACAGTCTAGGCTACCTTCTATGATAAATACAAACTCCCAAAAGTCCATTATTACTAAACAATAGGTAGATTGAAAAGAAAAAAAAAATAGTAAGGTATGAACACTACAGTCCAAGTAACGCTCGACTGCTAACCCTCAATGCTAATAAATCAAGAGGCAAGGAACTGATCAAAAGAAGTGTATTAGCCGGGCTCGGTGGCCCAGCCTGTAATCTCGTGCTTTGAGAGGCTGAGGTGAGTGGATTGCCTGAGCCAGCAAGTTCGAGACCTGCCTGGGCAACTTGGCGAGACCTCATCTCTACAATAAAATAAAATAAAAAATTAGCTGGGCGTGGTAGTGTGCGCCTGTAGTTCCAGCTACCTGGAAGGCTGAGGCGGAAGGATCACTGGAACCCAGCAGGTCGAGGCTGTGGTGGCCAGGAGCAGCCACTGCACTCCAGTCTGGGCGAAAGAGTGAGACTCAAACTCAAAAAAAAAAAAAAAAAGAAGTTTATTTCTGAATTTGAATCCAGGGAGCAAAGCCAGGCTCCTGGTCTTTCTAAAACAGTTCTGCTCACCCTTCAAATTTTACTGTCTGATTTTGTAAGTTCATGGTTGTTGGTACATACCCATTGACTACATGACTGATAGAGAGCATTGTATAGAACTTAAGTTACAGTCACATGTTGTCAATAATGGCTTTTATGGTCCAGTTATCAGTAACCACCCCGCAGAAGCATTAATCAAGCTTGCCACAGAGTAAAGGTGGTTAAGAAGGCCTAAGACATCATACATTACAACACGTTGTTACAAGCAAGTTATACAAATCACAAGACTCATAATTAAATTGACACAAAAGTTGTACAAATCACAAGACTTATGATTACCTTGATACTATATTATTCAAATCTAGGACTACCAAGAAAAGGGAGTAAATGGGATTTATATTTCTCAGTTAATTGGGCACAGTCTGCACGGAAGTTAAGGATTCTCTGAAGTTATTTACTAGGAGTGCATAGGAGATAAGGGGAAGCATTCCATTTGTTAACTCTCAGGAATGTGGGTACGTGCAAGCCTGCCGGAGCACTTGCCATACCCTTCTTTAGGGGTGGTGAAAATATGGACAATAGCGGGTCTCCGTATGGCTATCACAATTGAAAATGATGAAGCATCCAGCAATGGCTGCTTTCCATTCAGCACCTTTCCTACAGAACCTGGACCAGCTGTCCAGAGGAAGCTCAGAGGGTAACACGTGAAGCAACTCAAATGGAAATCTCACCCACTGGAAACTTCCAACACAACACCAAGTCAGTTTCTCAACATACTAGCCAAGAGATTCTCACAAAGGAGATTCTCACAAAGGACCAGATCCTTCTGTGAGAAGCTCAAAGGAAAAAATAAACCCTCCAGGCTGGATACAGTGTGCTTTTCTGGGCCCTCCTAGCATCTTTAATCTCAGACTCTGTAACAATTCAATTAAGTACTTCTCCTCTCTCACTTCGCACCAGCCCACAGGATAGGGCCTGAGTCTGGTCCAACTTTGTATCCTCAGGGCCTAGCAAAGTGACACTCACATCGGAGATGCATAATTAACAGATTTCGAAAAACGGGACAGATGCGCTTCAACAGTTCAATGGCAGAAGAAAAGAAGGCTCCCAACGCAGCTTGTCCTTTAGCTTTCTAATAACAACAATTACAGCTCTCATGTAAGCTCCTGCGATGCTCCAGACACAGCAAGGAAAGCTTTTAACCTACGATGTCAATAACTCCGCCACCAAGCCTATGGCAGTGCCATTAATTCCATTTTCCAGGAAACTGAGGCTCATCCAGGTTAAATACTGGAAGCAAGGGTCAGATGTCAGCTAAACAGCAACATGGCTGAGATATTAACCAGGACAGATGCCCAAGTCTACTCTCGACCACGCAGTTGACTAACAAGTTAAGAGAGGTAGGGCAGGCTGCCTAGAGAAGTTAACGGGAGGACAGGAGGAAGAAGAAGAGCTAGAAATCAGGCATCCCTGCTGTCCCTGCCGTCCGGACGCTCCGGGGCAGCTTCAGTGGCCGGTGACCGGGCTTGTCCAGGAAACTGAGAGCGCCCAGGGAAAGGTGAGCAACTTCAGAGAGTCGCCGACTCCCGGGTGCTTGGGAGATGCTTCGGGCCATCGCCCGCAGAAAAGGCACCTGCAGCGACCTTGGACCCAGGCAAGGCGCCCCGGGTCCAAACGCAGAGAGAATCGTGAGGGTCTGCGGAGGGTCTGCAGAGGGTCCCCGAGGACCCGGGGCTGAGCGCCGC